TCGTGCCGGCGAGAGGGGATCGGTTACGCATCCATTAATCAATTGCCCCACGGAGCCGCTCATCATTCGAGACGACTCGGTATTGCTCGTGAACATTTCGCTCATCATGCGATGACGGTTTTCAACTATCTTTGTGGAATTGCTAGTGAGTATGATAATTCACAGATGCCAATCACATGTGCCAATCAAGTATTCGCTAAATGATTCCTCGTGCAATTTTATTGTATTTCATTTGTCGCACTCAGTTATACATTGAGATAGTGACAAGAGATACAATTAGAAGAATAGAGATTGGAAAATTTGGGACAAGCATCGCAAATCGAATTTTTCTGCTGAACTTTTTAATATCTCGTTTTTGTCCTCTTTTTCTGCTAGCAGCAAAACTGAAATGTATACAAACTTAAATGTACTATCTCATTTCAAGTGCGGAAAGTGCAGCCTAATGTCATCGTTTATTTCACACAACATAATATGTGCTTTCTATTTCGTAACACGAGTTCGCTATCGAGTCGTTCTATCTTTGTTACTCACCGAATATCACGAAAGATAGGATGATATTTGTGTTGACCTGTGTCACTAAATGAAAAGTACTCGATGATTTTTGCACGCTCATGATATTATGATAATAATATCGACATAACCTTTCCGAAAAAAAATAATCATTTATAAAGAATATTTAGTACTTACGTCCTGAACATTTAAATGCTATTTATTATAACACATATAATGGAAGAAAGAATACATTCTTATGACATTTTAATGACAGTCCTCGATTCTTAAATCTGTTTGCGTTACTTGAAATTCACGAAAAATGTTTGCACTTAAAATGAGATAAATTATATATATTCAGACATTGAAAAAAAAGAAAGCAAAGATATTAAATACAAAAAAAAAACAATGCAAACAGACTTACTGTTTTTATCGCATGATGAAGCAATTCATATTAAATCAAAGACAATTGTAAAAACATTATCATATGTATATTTAATATAATTATGGTAACCATATTTTCTTAAAGAAAATAAAAGACAACTTGAAAATTTTAGGCTTTGTTTTCCTATATGTTTTCAAACCATAAAGGATAGTAAAGGACAATATTTAACAATAAAGGGCAAATAAAGGAAAATGAGTTTTGAAGAAACAAATAAATCTAAAAGATAGCTACCTAAAATAAAGGACATATAGTCATCACAAATATAATACATTTATTTTGAAATATGTATATCTTTAAAAATATGTTTTAGGACCGAAAAACATGTTTTGTTCCACCTTTTGGTAAATTTTATCTGTTGGGTAAATAGCAGATTATCCAATCACATGTGCGGATTGCCAAATTTACTTCACAAAATTTATCAAAAAAAAGGTGGAATAACCGGCCCATAGGCCTGATTTCACAATATATGGTTACCTAAAGATTAAAGATAGTCAAGAAATTCATAAATTAATTTTGTTGATGAATCTGTTGGTAACCTTTAACCTTTAGATAATCATATATTTTGAAAACTGGTCTTAGTATTTTTTTACATTTTTATATATTTGTAAAATAAAACAAACAGTTATACATTCATTAATGTGAATTATTAATTTAATTTATTTATGTAAATTAAACTATACACATGATGCTTTTATCAAATGATTAATTTAACTTTACATATTATATTGATGATTTTAAAGGAAAACTGTGAATATATGAACTGAAAAGTTCAATTCAAGTTTCAAAATTTCAAAGTTTCATTAATTAGTACATTTGTAATTAATTAAATTATAATCGATTAAAAATATAAATATAATTGATAAAAATATATTTCAGAAACAGCCTTTACCTGTTTCATTCTATTATGAATAAAAAACATGAGAATACATGAAATTAATAAATTAATAATTGGTATCTGATTATACATAATTTTTAGGAACGCTGCAGCTTTTACATTCTCCTATTCATGTACACAGAACTCTGCGCTTTTTCTTTCGAAATGAATCTAGTTTTGTGCCTAAGAAGGTACTTATCGTGGCAAAATTGTCCCGATACTATTTCGAAAGATTACAAGATCCTGAGCTCAGCGAGGTCCAGCTGAAGATAAAATTGATAGAAAAAGGTACAGATTATGATAATATGCTCGCCAATCACTTGGCTACCAAAGATGTAGAAAATCAAGTCATTCACCTTTTGCAAAAGATGAATGTGGAATACAAGGTAGTAGATAGGTGAGTTCAAATCTTTTTAGTAAAAAAATTATAATTAAAAAAAGTATAATTGGAAAATAGCAAAATCCACATTTCTTAATTTCTTAAATTTATGGAAAAAAATCATGTGTTTAGAGTAGGATATTTTATAGGAAGATGAAGTGGAAAATTTAATCTTTCCAATTGTACGACATATTCTGTTTATTAAATAAATTTACGTACATGTCCAATCACATTGATTCTCAATTCACTATTTTTTGTTACTATTATTTTGTATTAATGTTTAAGCTCTCTTTTAGAGAACCTGTTATAATATTCTATATCTACAACTAGAATAGTAGTGTAGCGACAATGTAATCGTCACATGTGTACTAACGTTAATAAATTCAATAAACAAATCCAATTTCGTATGTCAAAATTAAAATATTAGTCATTAAATGTTTATCACGAAATAAAGATTATCATGAAATAAAGATTTATTGTATTTTTTAGAACAAGTTTAAATCATTCGCTTTTTACATGGGCGGACTTGGTGCTACCAATTGGCGGTGACGGAACGTTTCTCTTAGCCTCGAATTTAATATTTAACAATAAAAAACCTATAATAGGTATTAATTCCTATCCTGAAAAGTCGGAAGGCTATCTTCTATTATCAGCGAAATATACGAAAAACATAACAAAAATTTTCGAAATGCTAAGAGCAGGACACTACAGTATACTCATGCGAAGACGAATTCGGATTACTTTAAAGGGAGAAGACATATGGCAAGTTCCCTTTCATATGCACGAGAAAGGACACATCGTTGGCATTGATAGGTACGTTATATTAATATTATAAATTATTATAACTAATTTATATTTATTAAATCATAATAGTTGATTTTTAAACTTATGTCTATCATTTCTGTTTCTTTACTGCAACCCCGATTATTTAATTTTTTTATTATGTATTTTGTAGGTTTTATACGAATGAAAAGTTTGAAAGCAAGCATCATTTACCAAAAGAAAGGCGTCTACCTTGGTTAGCACTTAACGAAGTGAGTTTGTTAATGCTCCTCGATGCATGTACAAATATTAGAAATTGGATGACTTGTTCTTTTATACATATCTCAGGCTTGGTTTTTGTCGCTAGGTTTTCATGGGTGAAACATTATCGGCACGGACGAGTTCCTTACTTATAAAGTTCGATGAAGAGCGAGAGTATCGCAAAATAAAAGGCTCCGGTTTGTGCGTGAGCACTGGAACAGGATCAACATCTTGGTATAAATCTATACATAGTTTAAATCATCAAACCGTACGGGAAATATTAAATCTCTTAGGCATTAAACGGCCATTCACTAATAAAGAAATTGATATGATTTGTTCAACGTTCAATAGCAGCTTACAGTTTGACGCAGGTCAGTATGTGCGATACGTGAATATAAAAAAAATACGATATCGATATGATGCTATTTTTGTTTACAGGGGATTCCAAACTGTGTTATTCCATAAGAGATATGATAATGACCAATTCAATACCCGTTCCGAAAGATGTTTACACTCGTGGTTTCTGTAGAAAGGCCATTGTAAAATCACAGTGCTTCGATGCGGGTTTGGTTCTGGATGGTGGATTAGCAGTCCCCTTCAACTTTGGCACCATTGCCGAAATGGAAACTTTTCCTGAAGATTCCTTACGAACTATCATCCTTGATTAAATTAATAGAACATTCAAATAACATTTATATAATATAAATACGAAATTTTATAATAGTGTAAATATTCCCATATTTTTTATTAAAATTAATTTCTATAGATAAAAACATTAAGATATAACACGTAAATATTTAGTGACAACGAACATTCAGAAGTTATTGAAATATGATCTAGTAATCAAATTTGGGCATTAAAACTTAACTTTTCGGAATAAGAAAAAGCAAACTAATTAAAAAAAAATTTTGTTAGAGTATATCATAACTATATTTTTTAAAACTTATATTGATCATTATTGTATAGTCTTTTATGTTAAGTATGTAACATGCATTTAAGATTTAATATATGACATATATTATTACTATATAATTTAATCTAAAAATATTTGTACCTACACAAATACCAAATATCTGCTTATTAATCTGAAAAAATTAGATTATTATTGTTTTTTATATACATTTAGAATATTTTAGCTCATAAATATAAATAATTAAAAGTTTTATATATATTAATGTATCTGTTTATTCAGTTGAAAAACTTAATGTATTTTATAATAAGTTTTATTGTAATATATTTAACAATTTTTTAAAAATTTTAAATGTGCAAATGCCAAATTCTTGATAAAATATAGTATTCTAATAATTTCTAATAATATATATTTATTATCTTTTTATGATATATCTATATCTTTTTATGATAAAATTGATTTTGAATTTGGAAACAATCAGAATATGTTATTTTCTTTACCATATGACTTCTTGCCCTTGTAATATTCGAACATTTGAAAATTCTCTGAACTGAGGAAAGATTACACATACATACTTCTAATTATTGAGTGTTTCCATTTGACACAAGTATCGTTCTATCTTTCATTCATGGAATATAAAAAAAGATGAAACGATGTTTGTGTCGACTTGTATCATTAAATGAAAAATATTAATTTTTTTATCCATTATTTACAATTGAATTATATTATACTTTCTGTATTTAAAACAAGATCGAACATTGAAAAAAGAAAGAAAAAAGATAAAAAGTGCAACAAAGTTCAATCATAAGGAGTAAATGCAATCGCATGAAGTTGTATACGTTTGACAACACAGCTTAGCGGCGACTCCGAAATGCCCAACTTCAGGCGTGACTAAACATCACTTTGTGCTCTCTTGTTTATACTTGGTGATTCGATACGGTGGTGCAACCGAATGGTTTCCTCATTATCGCGCAACGGCATGCAATGCGATGCATGTGCATGACATTGTTTCGTCGATAAACAATTCAACTACCTGGCCGTATCTATGAGAGCTCCCGGTCACAAAACGGTAAGGAACGAAAAATATTTCAAGCGGAAACACTGAAGATCGAAGCGATGGTACTTCTGTTCGTGACGCGAATATCTCTCGAGTGACAGCAAGAACGCACAAAGTTTTTTCGATGATTTTTTAAGTTCAGCTGTCCGCGTCACGCGATAAAGTAAACAATAATTTTTAATAAATGATTTTGAGGTTAGGATGTCGCATTAACTCTTATGACAGAGTCGCGCCGAATGGAATATTCCTTCTGAATTTCTTTCTTCGGGAGAGATTTGTCAAAACAATTCAACAAAAGCTATATTTCATGATTAATATCTTTGTATACCGATTTTGATGTTAAGTATCACAAAGAGTATCTTATATAGCAATAATTCCGTTTTAATCTACAGCGATTTGTTATCAGATTACTCTTGATTTAGCCTACGAGATTGTTTATGAAAGAGTATTGTATGTGTTATGATGTATATACTGTGTGATTCATTTTAATCAGTCCACATTAGAATATCTTAAAATCTTTAAGAGTTTAAGGCAAAAATTGCTTAGTTATGGGGAAAAAAAATGTTAACTTTTATATTAAGAGAATTTAAGATCAAGGACATTTCAAATTTGTTAAATTATAATCCCTATTTTTTATTTCAGGTTCATATAGCTGACTTCAAGATCTTTTCAATAAACTTTTTTTTTCTTGAAGTTTACATGTCGACGTTTAATCAATCTACTTAAAAAAATTAAGTTTGAGACGAAGAGAAGATGATAATCTTGGTTGACTTTGACACACTGTCCTCGAATTCAGCTTGAAGTCACCTTGAATTTTTAAAATTTCTTTTTCATTTTATGCTATTTTAAATACATTTTTTATTGCACCTCATCATGAGACCGAAACTCATGTTAAAGCATCCCAAAGAAAACAGAAAACTACTCCATATATTTTGATTTGGAAAACTGTCCATGTATTTTAGGTCATTGTCTTCTTTTCCCATAATAACTGAGCAATTTTTGTCTAAAATATTCTTTTCTTAAACTTAAGTAATTTGAGATATTCTATTTTAGTGGACAGATTAAAATAGACAGATTAAAATAGACCACCCTGTATATATATATATATATA